AGACAAAGACAGAGGCAGACCCACTTGGCCATTTAGTGTCTCTTCTATGAACAGTGCCCACTTCAGCAACTTGATCAATTGACTTTTCTTCCCTGTGTAGTGAGTGGACAGGAAATAGTCATACATAGACCCTGTACTTGTTCTGAAGTACATCACCAAATATCCACATGGATCCCCTTTACAATGCTCATAGGCCTGGGCTCTCATTAGCCAATTGTGGTGATTAAAAAGGTTTGAAAGATGTAATTTTTGGGTAATTTAATCATTTTATTAATAATGTTTTATATCATATTAATAATATTATATATTTATACACATAAATATATATTTACATATTTTAATGAAAGGACAGTCATTTGGCCATCTTTCTCTTAGTCCAAAGACAATCATGGCAGCAGGCTCAAGGCTTATATGCCCATTGGAAGAGGGGTATTCTTAAAGGTGGCAATCAACTCTGATTGGCTAAAAATTTAATGAGAGAATGAATATTACAATGAGGGGCTGGACCTGAACTTCTGATTATGTCATTTACTTCTAAGTTACCCCCAGCCTTTGCAACCTATCCAAAGAATCTATCCTCACCCAAATCTGAGGAGAGTACAATAGCTTCCCCACATGAGTGGTGTCTAGATAGAAGAGAAGGTTAGCTCAATCTCAGAGACTGAGGTCTTGAAATGAGGATAAAAGAAAAAGGGGGAAATCTGCGTCTCTCCAAATCATTGGTTATTAATAATCATTTCTCTCATAGTCCCCTGTTAGATAAACATTCCTGTACTGTCTTCGTCATGCAAATGCCATTCTTTGCACTGTGCGCAAAGCTAAATGTGCATATTACTAACATGTTCTTTCCACTACACCAACGTACCTTACAATCAGCAGACATCGGAGGCTCTCCTAGGCGTGAACCAGAGAAACTACCTCTTACTGCGTGTGTAACTACGAGCAGTTCTGGAATCTCTTCAATCTCAGTTTCCTTTTCTATAAAATAGGGATAATAATAACTCTCACCTGTCTCACAGGGTTGTGAGGATGAAATAAAATGGTATGAATAAAAATGCTTTGAAAAGTACAAGTTTAGGAGTCAACAGAGCAAATCCAAATCCTGAAATGTTGTCCTCAGAAACCCAACTTCCAAATTGACTGTCTTGCTAGGAACCTTGACAGGGCTTTATATGTTGGGCAAATTCCATGAGCATTGCTAAGTAAGGAGGGGAATGAGGGATAAGTATTTATTAAGAGCCCACTATGTGTCAGGCACCATGCTAAACACTTTACAAATACCTCATTTGATTATCACAACAACCCTGGGAGGTAGGTGCTGTTAGGAGCCCCTTTTTACAGTTGAAGAAATTGAGGCAGGCTTTGCCCAGGGACTTACCACTAGTGTCTGAGGCCAAATTTGAACTGAGGTCTTCCTGACCGCAGGCCCAGCAATCTAACCAATGTACCTGTCACATAGCTGCTGTGAGATAATATTTGCCATCTTTCACCTTTAAAGAGACTGAACCAGTTCCTGTCATTGGTGGAAAAATAAACATTTGAGAAAGCCAACAAACAGATAAACCAAAGGATGAGAATCTGCTAACCAGATTTAAGTGTAGCCTTGAGACCCCCAAGCTGCTCTGGCACTCCCCCCTGTCTCATGTTTGATACGCTTATTCTGGGCTAGCATCTCTGTATTTGAATAGAAGGTCTGAGTCCCCATCCAATGACCTTTTGCCAGACCAAGCCAGAAGCACATGAAATTAGAGTAAAAAAGATTTAGTTAAAGGATGTTAATAAGATAAATAACAAGAAACCATACACATACAGACACAAAAGAGGAGGCATGTTCTCCCACATGTCACCACATAACTAGTGAGAAAGGGAATGCTTGCCACACAATCCACTCTCCTAAGGATGCATCCCAGCTGTATTTTCTTTAATTTTTTTTCTTTTGTTCTACTCTTCTTGAATAAACTGACTAATATGGAAATATTTTACATAATTGCACATTTTTAACCTATATCTGATTGCTTGCCATCTTGGGGAGGGGGTAGGGGAGGGGAGGAAGGAGGGGCAGAATTTGGAACTCAAAGCTTTAAATAAAAGTGTTAAAAAAAGTGGGGGGAAAATATGACAACTTAGTGCTGAGTTCAGATTTGGACTGATGTGCTATTCAGGAGACTGAGGTTCTTATCCTGTCTCAATCACTAATTAGATATGTAATCCAAGTTATTTAATCACTTAGCATCCCATCCCCTCTCTAAACTCTAGTTTCCCCATCTTTAAAAAAAAAGAGGGAGGGGGCTCAATGGTCTCTAAGGATCCTACTTGCTCTGACATTCTATATTTCAAGATCCCTTCCAGCCCAGAGATTCTGTGCTATATGGTCCACTGACCCTTCTTATTCTAAAGCCTGTGTTCCTATAAGAAATAAATACAAGTGCCATTGACCTCTTGAGTTCCTTGTACATCAATACATGGGCTTGGGACAGCTAGGTGGTACAGTTGATAGAATACCAGCCCTGGAATCAGGAGGACCTGAGTTCAAATTGAGCCTCAAACACTTACTAGCTATGTGACCCTGGGCAAGTCACTTAACCTCTATTGCCTCAAAAAAAAAAAAAAATTACATGGTCTCTGCCTTAGTCTACTAATTCTAGTTCCATCTTGAAATAGGTCACAGCTTCCTGGACAACTTTTGTAGCTCATCATGCCAACAGCACAGGCCTGAACCTACAGCTTCTATACCGGGGGGAGAACCTGCACCACATGTGGCCTTCTAGGTCCTTAAATGTAGCCTTTTGACTGAGTCCAAGTTTTACAGAACAAATCCTTTTATTAAGGGAATTTGTTCTGTGAAGTTTGGACTCAGTCAAAGGGCTGCACTTGAGGACCTAGAGGGCCACCACATGTGGCCTTGAGGGTACAGGTTCCCCACCCCTGTCTATACCAATAAGCAATCCATGTCACTAAAGGGCAATAAACCACAGGCTTCCACAAATGGAAATGAGCAAATTTTTAAAAATCCATGTGATTGAGAAGTTCCTTGGAGATGTGTCCCGGGCTGCATACAGGTTACCCAAATGCCATGTCAAAGGAGAGCTCCCCACAGTGGAATCACTGGGGCTTCAAGAATACGCACTCTCCTTGGACAGCAGCCAGAGAATCTGCCAGTAGGGCAGCCCAGGGAGAGCAAAAAAATGCTTTCTTTGTCCTCTTGAGATCTGTCATTATAGGGACTTGTTTGCTTGTGAGAGTTTGGATAGATCGGAAATAATCGACAGAGGGAAAGCACTGTCATTAAGAGGGATTGGGAAAGGCTTCTTGTAGAAGGTGGAACTTTAAAGCTCAAAGGAAACCAGGAAAGCTAGGGAAGGAAGGGGAGAGGAGGCAGGCGGGAGTTCCAGGCATGGGGGAAAGTTCATGAAAAATGCTTGTAGTTAGGAGTAGAATGTTTTGTTCAAGGAACAGTAAGAAGGCCAGTGTGACCAGATCACAGAGTACATGGGGTGGAAGGAGGGAGGCAGGGAATAGGGTTTAATAAGATTGGAACATTGAGAAGGAGCCAGATTATGGAGGGCTTTATAAGCCAAACAGAGAATTTTATATTTGATCCTAGAGGCAAAGGGAAGCAAATGGAGTTGATTGAATGGATAAGGGTGCATGGTCAGACTTAGACTTTAGGAAGATCACTTTGAAAACTGAGTGGAGGGTAGCTTATAGTGGGGAGAGAGTTGGAGACCAACCAACATCTAGGTGTGAGATGATAAGGGCCTTTATGAGAGTGGTGGCAATGTAGAAGGAGAGAAAGGTGCATAGATGAGGTATGTTGAGAAGGTGGAAACAGCAGGACTTGGCAATTGATTGAATATGGGAGGACTAGAGAGAGTAAGGAGTCAAAGGATAATGCCTAGGTTGTGAGCCTGGGTGACTGGCCACAGTATTTGGGAAGTTAGGAAGAGGGGAGGGTATGGGAAGAAAGACACTGAGTTCAGATTTGGACATGAGGAGCTTAACATGTTCTACAGAACATCTAGTTCAAGTTGTCTGAAAAGCATTTGGAGATGTAAAATTGGAGGTCAGTGGAGAGATTAGAGGTGGATAAGTAGATGTGAGAATCGTCAGCACAGAGATAATTGAATTCATGAGAGCTGATGAGACCGTGAAGTGAAATAGTACAGAAGGAGAAAAGCACCAGGGCAGAACCAGGTGGGACCTGGTTGAAGATTTAGGGGAGACTGAGAAGGAGCCATCAGATAGGCAGGAGGAAAACCAGGAGAGAGTAGTTCCAAAAACCTAGAGAGAAGGTTGTCCTTATCAAGGACAAGAGGGTGGTCAACAGTGTCAAAGGTCAAGAGAGAAGCAGATTGAAAAAAAAGGCTATTGGATCTGGCTATCCAGAGATCATTGATAACTTCCGAGAGGACAGTTTTAGTTGAATGATGAGGTTGGATGCCAGACTGCAGGGTGAAGAAGAGAGTGAGAGGAAAGGAAGTAGAGACATACCTTGTAGACAGCCTACTCAAAGAGTTTAGCTACTAAAAGGAGAAGATGGAGAGAATGACAGCCAGTGGGGAGGGATGGATCTATGGCCTTGTTTGGAGGTAGTAGGGAAGCCGCCAATAGACAAATGAGGAAACTGAGGCTGGAGGTCCCAGGGTTAACACAGCTAGTAGATGTCTGAGGTAGGATTCAAACACAGGTCTTGTGGACTCTTAGTCCATGACTCTCTCCACTGTGCCACCTAGTTGCCATGAACTGTTCTAATACCTTTCTCCGGCTATTCCAGGTTGGACTTATTGCAGCTGCACCTCATTTGATATAATAGGTATTGTTTCTAAAAGATTGCATCTAAATTACAATTACTGTTAATAATAGTAATGAAAATAATTCTTATTTTTGCATTGTTGTCTTTCAGTTGTGTCAGATTCTTCGTGACCCCATTTGGGGTTCTCTTGGCAGAGTGTTTTGTCATTTCCTGCTCCAGCTCATTTTCCAGATGAGGAAACTGAGGCAAATTGGGTTAAGTGACCTGCCCAGGACCACACAGCTAGTAAGTGTCTGAGGCCAGATTTGAATAGCATTTAAAGTTAAGTGTTTTCCTCCCAACCCAGGGGTGGGGAACCTGCAATCTTATGGCCACATGTGGCCTTCTAAATCCTTATGTGCAGTGTTTTGAATGAATCCAAATTTTGCAGAACACATCAGGCCAGCTTGTTTGAGCTGGCTCCAGCATACCCCTGCTCTCAATAGGGTGTAGTGTGAGATTGTTACCAGCATCCCATCTCTACCTAAACTCCCAGGCAGTTGTCTGAGCTCAAGATACCAGAGTAGGCTTTTTGGACACATGGACACGTACATGAAAGAGGGTGTGAAAACTGCCCAGAAAGCATTCCCAACTCCCAATGCCTGCCCGATTTCTTCTCAGAATGACTTAGGGTTGAAAATTTAAAGAAAATGACCATTCAACATTTCATAAATTTATTAAAATTGTTAGTTTCCCTAACTAGGGTCAGAATTTAAAAGATACAATGTTAAAACTCCTGGTTGCTTCATAACGACAATGAAACTCTGAAGACCTTCCCTTCCCCCTTCCAGGCTTTGGCTGACTTTCAAAGTTGTAAGGACGGAGGGAGTTGGGGAGACAAGGAGGCAGTTGTCTCACCAATAACAAGCTCTTACTGTCTTGGTAAGCAAGTTCTCAGAGGATTCAAGGCCAGAATCCTCTGGCTGGATGCCAACAATTCCTTCTGATGTCTCTGGCATCCAGGTAGCTTCAGTCGACCCCCCCTGGCTGTTCAGGTATTGCCAGCCCCACTCCATCAATACCCAAAAGATAGTAGAGGTTCTCAAGTCCCAAATCCTATTTTACAAGCAGAAGGACACCCTCCCATTTCTGAAGGCAGACTCAATATCCCTATGGTCTCTCTCTGAAGCATGTATACTGTGACTTCCACAAAGCATGTTTCTCTCTTGGTTTTAAGTGTCTCACATAAAAGACAGCCTTGTGACAGTTCTGTTTACATGAATAGTTCGGGGCAATTCACTCCAAGACCCCTCCATTTGCTATTTTTGGCACCTTAAAAGTTCGAGGAAATTATAGGGGAGGACCTAAACTGTTTCAAACGCAAGTTACATAAGAATGAATAATCTCATGGATTAAGGTACTAAAGTAGTTGAAGTCAATAGGATAAAAAAGTCCCAAGACCTGAAAGGTCAGCTTTTGATTGAAGGGAACCATTTAAACAGATTGTGGCCTTCAAGAGATACCATGTCTCCATGACACGGGGGATATTTTATCATTTGAAATGAGAATAGGCATGATAAGATCATGAGATTTCAAACCAGAAGGAATTTTAGAAATCATCTCTTCTTCCCTCCACCTTTTTGTTTTGTTTTGTTTTCAAGTGATTGGGGTTAAGTGACTTGCCTAGGGTCACACAGCTAGTGAGTATCATGTGTCTGAGGCCAGATTTGAACTCAGGTCCTCCACCTAGCTGCCCCTGTTGTGTGTTGTTTTGTTTTTTTAACAGAGCAAGAAACTGGCACCCAGAGCTACCAAGTTACTTAAGACAAGGGCTACCCGCCTGGCCTTTTGATTCCAGGACCTCCAGGACTTTTTCCACCATTGCTACAATCAGAAGTTGGATTGACCTCGCAGTTGCTCTGTGCCTCCAGGTTCTCTTTGTGTGGGATTTGTCACTTCTACAAGCTCCACTCCAGGCAGTTTTCAGTGAAAATGTTGGGGATCCAAAAAAAGGATGTTGGATTCTTGATGCAAGTGCTGAGCTCTTGAAGTCTCTTCCTCCTCAGAATCTGTGATTCTCCAAGTCTCTTCCAAGATGCCTACTGCTTGGTAAGGAAGAAGCAATTGACTGCACAGGGCAGAGACAGGTGGCAGCATCTCCATTGCCAGGACATTCTATCATGTTGGACCGTATAAAAGAAATGGGTTTTAAGCTGTGACAACATACAGGTACTTGCATAATTTACCCCGTGTACTAAGGGCAGCCCTTTGCCATAATGGAGCCCTCCAGGGCAGTTTCAGGTACCCACAGTGAAGAGAGTTCTCATTCATTGAAGGAAAGCTCAGGCATCAGGATCCCGTGATTTGCACCTGGATTCAAGGATTACATCTTGGAGATGTAAACTTAAAAAATGAGATATGGAAGTAAACAGATAGGGACCCCAACAGAAAGGAAAGTAAATCCTAGGGTGTTCCTTAGTTGCTACAGGCAGAGAATCAGACTGGAACAGTCTGATGTTGTGAAGCAGGTGGTCAGATGAACAGAAAAATGCCAAGGGTGTGGCACATGCCAGGCATGCATGCTCAGTGTCCAGACACTACTGAAGACAAAGACCCAGGAGATCCACTCCACACAGAGGAAGCTGGCAGCCCAGAGCCAGAGCCAGGGTGACACCAGCTCCAAGGAGTAGCCAGGCATAGAGAACATGGTAAAAGGAGACGGGATGCAATCCGCTCTTTCCTCACCCTGTCAAACTCTAGACAGGAGAAAGAGAGAGATAGAGAGAGAGAGAGACTGACTGGCTTAATTTTAGCCTGGGGGCTTTGCCCCCTATTTTTCACATTTGGAAGTGTAGGAGATTGTACTAATTTGTGTTTGGACTACTGAGAATGGCTCTTTTTCCCATTTATTTTTCCCTTGGTATTTACATTATTTATATTTTATTTGAATACTTTTCTTTTGGATTTGTAACTCTCACATGGTCTGTGAATAGAGAATGTTACACCAGTGGGAGTTTTGGATATGATTTACGTAATCGATGACCCAAAATACTAGTTGCTGAATTTAGGAAAAAGTAGCAGGGAGTTCTGGAAAGAGTTCTTTCCCTTTGTTCCATCCCACAGAATATTCAGAAAACACTGAAAGGATTTGCAGCAGTCTGTGAGCAATTGTTACAGTTCTCCCTTCCTGGTGACGTATATCTTTATTTCTTTACAATCCTTCAGAGTCACAGCATCACCTGTAGTTTAAACTCTTCTCAGAAGGGAAACTAATTTTGGGTTGCTAGAGTGCACAACCCCTGACATTTCTGATGTGTTCTTTCATCACCCCAAGGACCCCACAAAGGGTGCTAGTCTTCTATTTCTACCCTAAGAGCTTTGGAAGGAAAATGAAGTTGGACTGGCTGGGGGGGCCACCCCCTTCATGCTCTCCAAATAACTCACCTCGGTTAGCGATGGCAAATCTCAGGCCTTTTGCTGACTCATATCATAGTTGAGTCCTTTGCTCCCCCTTTATCTGCAGGGCCATGTGTGTGATCCTATTCTCAAGAGGCTAGAGCTTTTCCTCTCACTCGATGACTGAAATCTGGGGATCCTCTTCTCTCCAAGATGTCCAGGGTATACTGTCCAAGTGCATTCTCTCTATTTTCTCTAGAAGGCAGAATCGCAGAATTTTCAAACTTGAGATTTCTAGGAAGGCAATCTCAAGGCTGGCACTGCCCAGAAACTCCCCCTTCTGTCTCTTGAAGGCAGGCCCTCTGGGAATGAAGATGTTATCTTTTCTTTTTGAAAGGATGCATCCCCAAACAATCCTCCAGAAGACTAGGGTTCTAGAATTCTTACCATTCAGCAACATGGTTCCTCTTTCCATGATTGCCATCTCTTGGGCTAACAGGTTAGGTTATTCCCTTTCCATATCTGGGGCCAGGAACTCAGGATCTAAGAACTGATTTCTCTGATTACAATGTTCCTATTCCCCAAGGCAGTCAACATCAGTCCCTGGAAGGCAGGCTGTGCCCATGCTGGCTTCACTCACTCCATCCTTACTCCTAGTCCTACACAGGTCTGTTCTTAGCTCTGCTAGTCTCCGGTCTCAAAGCCAGAGTTCTCAGGGGGACTCCAGGGGACATCTTGTTACACCTGCATTAATATAGCAATCAATTAATGATTAAATAGGTGTACATCATATTTGATCAATATTTATTTAGGGAGCACCTGTTTATGTGCCCAAGACTGCCCTAGAAACTTCAGGGAATATAATGTGGAAAGATTCCCAATTAACACCTCTAGGTCTGGGCTCTCTTCTGAGTTTCAGTCCCGAATCTTCAACTCACTGCTGAGCAATTGTAATTATGTGTCCTGATATTTCTCAACATCAACACGTCTTTAGCAACTAGCTAAGGGCTTTGCTCATCTTAGGCATTTAACAAGTGTTTGTTGATGTGCATTGAATTCAGAAACAGCATGATGTAATAAAACAGTGGATTTGGAGTCAGAAGACCTGAGTTTAAATCTTGAATTTCCTACTTATAATCTGTTACCTTTGGCAAGTCACCTCATATCTACAAGACTCAGTTCCTTGAATAAAATGAGGGGGGTGGATCAGATAACCTTTAAGTCGTTTTCTCAAAATTAGAATATCCCTTGCTTCCCACCGCCACTTTTTTTTTTTGAGGTGATCAGGGTTAATCGACTTGTCCAGAGTCACATGTCTGAGGTCAGATTTGAACTCAGGTCCGCTTGATTGCAGACCTGGTGCTCTTTCCACTGTACCACCTAACTGCCCCTCTCCTGCCACTTTGAAATTCTTCCTCTACTGCCATCACTCAGCATCTTCTCCTTTAGGGCTCAAGTTATCTGAATTTATCACCTAGTACAGATACTGCCAACCCCAGGATATTCCCTCTCCTTTCTCTGTTAACTCAGCACCTGTCTCGATTTTCTTCTCCACCCCAAATCCAAATCCAAAGAGGACTCCAACACACACATTATTGTTGTTTTTGTTCAGTTGTTTTCAGTCATGTCTGACTCCTGGCGACCCTATTTGGGATTTTCTTGGCAAAGATACTGAAGTGGTTTACCATTTCCTTCTCTAGCTCAAACAGAGTTAAGTGACTTGCCCAGGGTCACACAGCTAGTAAGTGTCTAAGGCCGGATTTGAACTCAAGAAGACAAGTTGTCCTGACTCCAGGCCTAATATTCCATTCACTGTTCCACCTACCTGACCCTAACATTCCCTCAAATACTCTAACTTTCTCTTTCCTCAATCTGCCAAATTCCCATGACTTACTCCTCCATTCCATCTCAGCTATAGACAGGGACATGTCTTTGATTACCATTTACCTACAAGCAATACCACCCTTAGACCAAGTAAACAGGGCCCCAGGACCATCCTCTTCCCCTTAGAAGGCCCTGCTTATAATAAAACAATATTAAGATAAAAAGGAAATATGCAGAATAAAATAAAATTTTGAACGACCTGTATAACCAAGTGAATATTACCTTATTTGTATGGGATATGTTGCATGGGATATGGGAACATCTAAATACACCTAAGTTAAGCCAGCTCAATTGTCTTGAATCATGTAGTTCAAAGATAGTGGGATATGGCTCAATGGAAGAGCTATTTTGAGCTGAAGCAGCTGGTTGCTACATCCGTGGTTGCTATGTCAGCTCAGCAGTGGCTGGTCTCCACTCCCAATCCTGTCAGGATGAGTGGTTGGGAGTTTAATTAACAGCGACTCCCAACCTCCAGCCCCAAAGTCTCTGCTGTAGGTGTCCGGGGAAGGAGGGAGAGGAAAACCCTGAGATGCCCCAACCCTTAGAGTGGGCTGTACTGGACTTAGGCCACCCCTGTGTTTCCCAGGCTAGATTGGTGAAACTTCTGGGCAAAGGGCCCCATAGGCTAGTGATGAAGTCAATGGGTTTGCTGCCTTGGCATCATTTTTCCTGCAGCCCCCAGAATTCTCTGTGTCCACCAAGGGCTGCCTTGGCTGGTGAGTCATCCCTTGTGCCAGGAAATGGGATTCGAAAAGTCTTTTGGGTGGAGGAGAAAAACAACTGGACCAAAGACATCTTAGTTCTCTCCAACAGCAGCATTGGGTGGAGATGTGTTGGAGTGGCTTGTCAGTTTCATGCTTCTGCCCTGAGCATCTCCTTCCCTCCCAACCCTAAATGTCATGGGATGGAATGGGATGGTGTAAACCATTTTCCTGGAATGTCTGACAAATATTGTTTCAAATAGCCAGGAGGATGGATGGGGGATTTGCCTTTTAACTGTCAGTGGTCGTGTGCTCTGCACAGAATTATAACAAGAGGTCTAGTGGACCACAATAGTAAATCCAAATTTAGACTTTCATCATAACTCTGTACAGTTTAGCAGTTTAAATTATAATACTTCTTATAAAAAGGTTAATGTTGCAAGCAAATTACTCTAAATCTTTATTGATAAATCTGTATGCCTCTCCTGGGCCCATGAATTTTGTAATACATTTTAAAATCAGATTATTTATATAGACAGGCATCCTGCAATAAATGTTTTCCTAGGGGCCCCAAACATACTCCAAGGGTGATCCTGCACACAAATGTTACACTTCCATACTCAAAGACTCCAGTATTCCTCTGTTGAGATAATATTTGTATAAAGCACTTAGCTCAGTGCCTGTTATATAGTAGATGATACATAAAAGCTTGTTACCTTCTCTTCTCCTATGTTGTTTGTAACTTTTTTATTGTTCCATCTATTCCTATGTCTTACTCTTCCTAATCCTATTCATCTTCACTATAACTCTAATCCTTCTACCCTACTGTACTCTCCCATACCTTCACCTCTATTCTAACTACCTACTTCCCAATCTCCACCCAATGGTGAACCAGTTCATTAATCTTCACTCTCACATCCTTTGTTCCATTGTTATTTCTCTAATCACACCTTGCCAAACACCAGCTCTGGATTACATCCACCATCTGCTTCCTTCTTTCCTCCTTGGGAGCTGCTGAATGGAGATAGAAGAAGCCAAGAAACCAGGTAGACTAGGTCTGTTAGAAATTTATGTTATCTAATCTCAGCTGTGCCCTCATTGCAGCAGGGGAATTCCTCCCTAACTAATCCTGTATCCCATTTACCACAATGGCTCTTCCAAAATTCCCTTCTTTTCAGGTTCTTGCCAGCACTCCTTCCCTCTCCCTTGATTCTCTTAGCTGAAGACTGAAAAGATGGAAGCCATTTGCTGAGAGCGCCCTCTTCTCCCCTTTGCCTCACCTCATAGTCTTTTGACACCATCTCCCATTATCTCCTCCTTCACTCTAGTCTCTGATGAAGGCAGGGCTCTTCTCCTTTTCCAACCCCTCTAATATACTCTTGATCCCTTTCCTTCTATCTTTTCCAGGTGATTGTTCCCGCTATCATCCCTACTCTTTCTCCAATCTCTCCTTATCTACTAGTTCCTTCCCTGCTGCCTATAAAACCACCACATCTCTTTGATCCTTAAAAAACTCTCCTCAGGTCCCAGCTATCATCCTATACCTCTCCTCTACTTCTCAGCTAAAAAAACCTTGGAAAAGCCATCTACAATTATTGCCTTAAATCGAATGACCTCTTATCAAGTCTTCCTCGTCACTGACCTCTCTGCAGTATGTTATGCTATTCACCATTTTCTCTTCCTGGATACTATCTCCTCTCTAGGTTTTATGACACTGCTCTGGCTTGGTTCTCTTACCCATCTTACTGCTCCTCAGTCAACATTGTTGGATCTTCATCTATGTCATACCCCCTAACTATGGGTTAGGTTCTGAGAGAAATGATTCATTGAGGACCCCTACTCAAACTCTAATCAATATTAATTCAGTTCATGATTTTATAAGGGGTAATGATTGTTAGTAATTATTTTACCGTATTATCTAGTAATATATATCTAGTCAATCACCTAATAATAGGTATAAGAATAATCTATACTTTGTATAAGTTACATAGGAATACAAACTCTAATAGGAGGGCCCTATAATAGGCCTCAGACTTTAATGTAATGTCTGTTACTTGTTTACCAGCTATGAAGCTCACTTGTGCAACCACAAGAATTCTGACAAAGCTGTCTCTATCTAGTTTTGCTTAAATTCCATGACCAAACCAAGTGTAGGTTGTGGTATGGTACAGAAAGTACCCCCAAATATTTTCTTGGAGCTTTTGTATAACCTGCACCATCTCTTCCTGCCTAACCTAAGGAGAAGCCTATCCATCTTATGACCACCTAGTCACTGGAGATATTCCTTTCTTCACCCAACTCGTGACCCTGCTGACAGATCATTTTTGATTTTTTTAGTTTATGTGTCATGTATCAACCAATGAGCTTCTGTATTTTATCATGCCTCTTCTGAATATTTGAGTATTAAACTCTATAAATGAGGGCATCTCAGATCGTGAGGAAGATCTGAGGTCCATTTCATTAGAGGGGACCATGGACCCTTTAATAAAATGCCATTAGCTCAGATATTTGCCTCAGTCTCTTTTATTGTAGGTTGGACAATTTTAATGCCCACAGTTCCCCCCAAGACCTCTTCTCTTCCCTCAAAACTATCTCATTTGATGATATCATCAGATACCATGAGTTCAATGATCATTTCTATGCAAAAATTAATTACTAGATCTATGGTAAACAGATGTGCATTGGACATTTCCAACTGGATGTTTGGATCCTGTCCAAAGTAGAACTCATTATTTATTTCTCCTAAAACCTATTCCCTTTCCAAATTTTCCCTATCACTGTTGAAGACTCTGTCATGCTTCTAGTCACCCACATTCAAAACTTCAGTGTCACCTTCAACACTTCATTCTCCTTCAGACTTATGCTTTAGGAAGATCCTTTTGTCTGATGGATTGTAGTGGGAGACATTTGGGGCTGGGAAACCCAATCAAAAGGCTATTGAATAGTCCTAGCCTGGTGCTTTATGAGTGGAGAGAAGGGGACCTATACAAGAGTGTTGTGAAAATAAATGCAAGATTTTACAACAGATTGGATATGGGGGATGAGTGCAGGTTAAGTATGACACCAAGGTTTAGAGTCTTGGGTGACTAAGAGGGTGGTAATACCATTGGGCTTGGGAGGAAAGATAATGAGTTCTGTTTTGGACATACGGAGTTTGAGGTGCCATAAGACATCCAGTTCAGCAAGGATACAGCATCCAGTGAATTGGGCACAGCTTCCATGATGGTGCTATAGACAGAAGAACAAGTTAAGCTTGAGAAGCCAACTGATATTGGCTTGAGAGACAGTACCCCTGGACCAATTAAAGCTTAGGGATGATTGCATTACTTTTTAAGGAAAAACTAACTTAGCCTGTTTGGGGTAAATGCTGCTTTTATGGTGGAACAGTGAAAGGAAAGAGAGACGGGCATTCTTATAGTTCCATAGGCACAAAATACCACATGTGGAGTGATCCTTAAAGTTCATGTATACCAACCCTCTCATTTTACAGATGAGGAAACTGAAGTCCAAAGAAGAGAAGTCACTTGTCCAAGTCTGAACAGGTGGTAAATTACCTATAAGTTGATCCTTAATTGTATGGTTTACTTAGGTACTTACTGATTGATTAATGATAGTAGGGTGAATACAGAAGCAAAACAGGAGGAAACTTTCCTTCCCAAATCTTGGGAAGAGCAATTTAAAGAGGTGAGTGAATAGTTTTTTATTTGGAGCCAGCAGGGTTCTCAAATGTTCTTGTCAACTTTCAATAGACCAGAACCACAACGAGTGTGACTGATGGTCAAACCAGACTAGTTTTCTATCTTTGATAGAGGTTATTAAGGTTTGTTTTTACAAATACAGATGTAAGTACAACAAGTATTTATCAATCACATGCTCTGGGCAGGTCCTTGAGTTTGGTTGGGGGAGAGACACAAGGTTTCAGAAATACAAGGTCACTGCTTCAATGGTGCTCACTCTAACACACAAGACAACATGGTAAGTGGATCTGAGAGAGTTACAAAATAAAATACTAAGTAACGCCTGAAGGGCAGGATTATTGTCAACCGGAGGGATTAGGGAGAAGTTGCATGATGTGGTAGATAAATGACTGACCCTGGAATCACAAAGTCCTGGGTTTGAATCCTGCCTATCACTTCTGAACTGTGTGACTATCCAGAAGTCATTTAACTTTTCTAAACCTCAGTTGTTTATTCTTCTATTAAATGAAGACAATAATATCTGAAGTATTTACCTCACAGAGTTGTTGTTGAGGAGCAAGTGTGATAATCTTTGTAAAGTGAGCTGCAAATCAGTAAGAGCTATATAAACGTGAGTTATTATTTCTGGAGATTTGGGAAAGGATAGAAAAGCAGTCCTGCTTACCACCAACCTGTAAAATTGAGGTACATGCTTTTAAATGTCCTCATTTCCTTTATAAAATATTGTGGATCCAAACAAGTAATGTACTTATTGAATTAACATAGGTCCATGAACTTACTCAAATATGTTTTGAAATTATTTGTGCCTTCAGTGTATGCTCCCTCAAATTCCATGAATTTACTACTCGCTGTGCAAAATAGGACCCCTTTTCAATGTGTTCTTAATTTTTCTCTGTTAGGCTTCAAGGAGTAATGAGATATAATGAGATAGACTTTGAGAGGCTTCAGAGCTGTAACTAGGGCAGGGAAACTGAACCTTTGCCATAGGGCACAACTATTATAGAAACAACAGAGCTTAACCCTTAGTGAAAATAATTAGAACAGGAAGCTACCCATTCCCTGCCTTTCTCACCCATGCATCAATGTCCTAGTGATGACACCCCTCCCCGCCTCCAGCTTGGCCCAACCCTGATACCTCCCATGGTGGTAGCCTCTCCAGCAATGACCTTGAGGGGTCTTAGTGTTTTCATATAAAATGCTGCTCCTCAGTCTCTTCCCCTACAGGGCTGTATGTCCTAAGACCAAAAGTTCTACCCCCACCCCTCCAAGTCCCTGTCCTCCAAGAACTTACTTTGTCTTAAAATATTTCAATTCAATTCGATAAACATTCGTTAAGTACCTGCTACGTGCCAGGCACTGTGCTAAGTGTCGAGGATACAAATGAGAAAAAGACACAATCCTTGCCCTCAAGGAGTTTGTAATCTAATGGAGGAAGACAACATACGAAAGTAAGTTAAAAAGGGGGCTGGGGGAGCCACCAATGGATGTAGGGTATGGTGTTCTGCAGACTCCAAGTCAAGCAGAACTGCTGATGGAAAATGGAGTTGCCTGCAAGGTTGTGAATGCCATAAAGGAAGGCTTTGGGAGGAGTTTAATGTTCTGTCCTCTAGCTCATCCATTTATCTTGGATAGATACCACAAATGAACTGTGGATTGGACCCAGAAATGAATAAAGGGAGGTGAGTAAACTGGATTATCACTTTTGGAAAATTGCACCATTCTTTTAATGGCCCTAAGCATCTCCCTGAAACAAAAACCTCTCTTTTCAATACTGAAATTCTTTCATTGCAACTAGAGGGCACAGTAGCAGATAAGAGTGCTGAGTCAGTTCAGACTCAAGTTCAAATTTGACTTCATTTATTAGGTGTGTAACCCTGGGCAAATCACTTCACCTGGTTTGAACTGGAGAAGGAAATGGCAAACCACTCCAGTATCTGTGCCAAAATCCCAAATGGGGTCACAAAGAGTCAGACACGACTGAAAAATGATTGAACGACAAATTTTCCCAATGATGTTGAATGGCTTCAAGTCCTGGAATACCACAGTCTCCAAAAAAAAATAAAAATGCAAGCTGAGGATACCCAAAGAGTAACCAAGGGTGCCTGATGGCACAAATAGGTTATAATACTTTATAAATGAGGAAGTGATCCAGAGAAGTGTTATTCTCAGAGAAAGGTATAAAAAATAAAAGATGGGCCAGTGGTATAGCAAGAACAATGGAAGACTAACGGTCAGCTTTTGTATTTCTCTAGTTTCCACTCAGTGTCAAGAGAACAAGAGGAAAAGCTCTAGGCTGTTTGGGTGGGGAGTCCCTGAAATAGATTTATGGGACATGGGCAAGGGTCACACAAGATAAGAAGGAACGGATGGATTGTGATCTGTGTCATTGAAGGAAGGTAAGACCTCCATAAAGCCATATTAAAGTGGGAAATAGGGTGCCAATTCCTTGAAGGTACCAAGTACCTGACTAGGGATGATATCCCCACATCAGAGACCACATTCCCCCACATTGCTTTGGGGACCAGAGAGATTCATTCATTAGGAGAGCGGTCTCAGGAGAGACGGTGCACATGGGGGCATATCTTAGGAAGGTTTTTTTTTTTTCTTCCTTCTTTTTGGTGAGGCAATCAGGGTTAAGTGACTTGCCCAAGGTCACACAGCTAGTGAGTGTCAAATGTCTGAGGCCAGATCTGAACTCAGGTCCTTTTGACTCCAAGGCTGGAGCTCTATCCACTGCACCACCTCGCGGCCCCTCAAGAAGGTTTTTTAAAAGAACGCTGGAGAAGCTGAGGAGTAGAGTTGGGAAGGAGGGATGGAAGTGGTACCCGGAGTCTGCCGTGTCTACACCCCAGTGATAATGGCAAGGGTGTGACCTGAGGAATACAGATAGTCTGCTCTTCCTGAATCAGACCACACTCAATTCTCTTTTTCCAGATGCTTACCCCCCACCCTGATAGGCTGCCATCCTGAGAGGCTGGAAAGGGCAGAAGGTTGACATCAGGAGAGACGACAGAGAAGCAGGCAGCTTCAGTGCAGCTAGCCCATGAGGAGCAGCACTCTGGACTGGCTTGCCTGGGTGACGAGAGAAGAGGGGGTCCTCTGAATTGTAAACACAGGCTAATCTCTTTAACGGACGAGAATGTGGGTGAAACAGATGTTTTTCCTTCCAGATGGGCAAGAAACAAAGGTTTAATTGGGAATCAACCAGGGTTTCCAGGGCACAAGTGGGAGGACATGGCCGTTTTGTGAACCGGAGCCAAGAATGCCTGCAGCTTTGTTATTTGCCTTATAATATTTTGAGGGAATATTTGTAAATATTATAAAAATGTGTAAATATTGAGTAATGTGAATCTTAAGTAAAGATTGAGTAATATTTTGAGTCAATTATCCCTTCCTGCACAAGTAAGTCATATATAATTAATATTGGCTAGTCGGGGGGAGATTCAGAATGGAAAAAATTATCATTTTGTGACATACATAAAGGTTGAGAGATGTAGTTTTGGGGTAATCAATCATTTTATTATTCATGCTAGTGGATAATTAATAAAAGGGGGTCATTAAAACTCTCAAATGCCAAAGATCTCTCATGGAACCCACTGAATGCTTATATGCCCTTGGAAGAGTGGGTGTTCCTGAGGGTGACAATCAACTCTGATTGGTTAACAATTAATAAGAAGGATGAATGTTATGAGAAGTGGACCTAGATAATGAGGGCCTGGGAATGTGATTCTAATTAAGTAAGATTATTATTGTCTGGGCAATCTAGAAGAAGGATCTATTCCCACCCAAGCCTGAGTAGAACATGATGGGCCAGAATTTATCTTAGATTAAATTCTTTATAAGGTTCTTTATTTGGGTGGCGTCTCCCACTCAGGATTTGGGCAATCTCATCCATCAACAATATCCTTCGGTTCAATGTCCTGAGCAACCTGCAGGTTTCTCAAAAAAAAAAAATCCTGGTCCTAATTCAACAATTACTTACTAAAATAAGAGAGAAATAATCATTTCTCTCAGTTCACAGAAATAATTTGAGTAGATATGTACTCTGACTGGGTAAGAATACCTAGAAGTAATCTACAGAGTTACTTGTAACATGTAACATGATGAGGCTGAATTAGATTATCTCTGAGGTGACTTTCAGCTCTAAAATAAAATGATTCTATGACTTCTAAATAGAAAATATGGAACACTTTCCCCAAATGAGTTGGGAGGCCAGCATGGGGGAAATATGGCTAGGCACCAGTATGTGTGAAAATAGTTCTGGGGAGAAGTCAACAATGCAGTATGACCAGTAAAGAAGCTGTTGTCCTGGAGGTTGGTTCTTGGACTTGCTTGAGGCACATTCAGTTGAGCAGAATATATGGGTGGATGGGAGAGAGTCCACCTCAACTGGGTCTTGTTGCACTAGGAGAAGGGACTATAGAACTGATGACCTCTGAATGCTCAACTCCCAGGAGAAAAGGTAGAGGAGGAAGGTAAGCCCTTAGAGGAGAGACAAGACTCTCTTTGGGATGGGGGAGTGGGGCCTGGAATTGATGAGAGTGAGGGAGGTTGAATGGCATGGCACAGGACCAACATGAGGACAGCGGGTTAGAAAGACTAGGCTCCCTTCGATGTTGACACCCTGGGATAAAGTCCCCCTCAGGCTGGGCCAACTGACCTCTTGGCTAAGAGAGTAGTTCTGAGCTTTCCTCTGCTTTCACTCTCTGGGAAGGGCACTCAGGTAGTTGAATTTCATATATGAAAAAGCTCATGAAACTGTCCACACAATTTGCTAAGAAACCATCTTTCTGTCTGTGCAGGGAACAAATTGCCTGTGATAAAACT